AATCTGTCTTAGTGCACTTAGCTTACTTTCATGTTAAATTTGAAACTGAAATATGAAGAGGGTCACTTTTTATCCCTTAAAGAAGAGAACCCTTAAACAGAGTCAAAGAGCAGCTTAAGAAGTTTTTTTCAAAAGGACTTCTTGAAGTCATTTCATTCTTCAGTGTTCACCTGGTGATCACTTGAAATTTGGGGGATCATTGGAGAAGAATACTTTGGTCTTTTCAAAGACAATAGCTGTCACTGGCAATTTGTCTTTTGCAACAGCTCTTGGTGGTGTATGAAGAAAGAAAGTTCTTCACACACCACAGAGAGTTCTTTGGTTTTGAAGTTGTGGTGACAGTGAGTGTTAACTTCGGCTGGGGTAAGGCAGCACTGATATGTTCTTGCTCTCCAGCCATAAGTGCACTGTTCTTTCCTGGTGGGAATGCAGCTATTTAGGTCACTGCTTATGAGTTGGCTGGGGAGTGGAGACCTGAGCTATTTTGTTAAAACTAACCAACCCGTCATGTAACCATTGTCATGAATTCACTGTAAAAATGAAAAAGCTGATTTCATTGTAGAAAGTGTCATGGCACATAATGAAGACTGTGCTGGCAGGTAGAGGAAGGTTCATCTAGGACAGAAGTGAATCTTTGGAACAGGGGAATGGAAGGGCTCCTTTCCTGGGACACCTCTGAGCTAACCTGTTCTGAAGATAAATTGTGAAACCATGCTGTGAAGTTTTGAATGCATTTCTCTTATACTTTGAACTCTCTTTTAAAATGTGATGGCCATATTCCCAAGAGAAACTGAATAGCTGAGGTCTCTTAAAGCATCATTTTGAATTAGACAGTTCTCTGTACAGAGAGGTTTGCAACAAAGATGTAGTACAATCCTTTTAGTGTCTACTGAGAGAATATAGAAAAACACCAAACATCAGTGGTATGAGGAAGAGTTGATGACAAAAGAGTGAAATTTTCTTATTCTAACAGTGTCTTTGGCTGAGGGCGTTCCCGTTACCAAGCTTGAATTTTTATTGGATTATAAACTGTTGTATGGATTGTAAAGGGTTTTGTAAGGAATTTAGAGCAACACTATTTCTTGCAAACTTTTCCAGAGATGAATACCACTTTTTAGTAGTTTTTACTCTCATGCCCATTCACAAGCCAGGGCTCATATGCCTGCTCATAGAAATTTAGTATAATAACCAGAAAATCCCTCTTCTGAGTTTATGATGTGCTTACTCTAATCTTTCTGGTAACTCAAATTCTCATTATTTCAGCCCATATGCTCTTCTTTCCTCCAGTGTTCTGGGAGCAGAGAGATCTAGAAAATCAAATTAACTCCAAGGTCAAAAAAATCCATGATCTGAGCTGAAGGGCTCTTTTCAGCTGTGGTTGCTGCAGCATTAGGTTGAAATTTTTGAAATCTCGTTGTGTCAGTAACAGTGAGCGGACTTTACCTGCAGGCTCTGTGAAGTGCACCTGAATTCAGGTGGACATACATTTGATATAAACTACAGTAGTTATAAAAAGGATGCTCTAGACTTTTTATGGCCAGTCTGTAAAAGAGAAGGAAAAAAGCCAGGAAACCCTCAAAAGGTGGCCCTTTCCCTTGTGGAGTCTACAAGCAAATTCACTACCTTAGGGACAGAACTTAGTAGAAGGAACTTTTACCCAAAAATTAAAAAAGTAGGCCAGCTGTGCAGAAGCATTTCACAGAAGTTTCTTCATTTTTAATCTGAATAATATGTAGCACGACCCATGTCCTCTGATTTTTATTTATTTTAATTTTGCATGCTTTTCAAAGCTCACTAAAATCGAATATGTATGTCTGAGTATGCCTTGTGCCAAATTGGCATGAAGTGCTCATAAATTACACATTTGCAGATGACAGCTCTTGCAGGTAAAGTGGTTCATCCAGATACATTGCCAAAGTGAGACGTGAGCAGCAATTGGATTTTTTGATTTCTGAATCATTCAATTACTCTTGTATATAAAAAGAAGCCGTATGTGTGCCAGTAATGTATTAAGAGATGAAGCTTACTTACTGTCATAATTATATCAGGAAGGGTCTGCATTTTACAGATGTTAATAAATTCATGTGGCCCTGGCACACCCACATTATCTTTAAGGTCTGGTATCTCAGGTGCAGAGTAGCTGAAGCAAACTGCTGATAAGATTCTACTTAGTGTTTTCAGAATTGGTTTTTTTGCTGCCTTAATCATGAAGCAAAATCGATATGAATTTCCAGACTTTAAATACAATTTTTAGTTTTTGTGACAGTTACCAGAAAGTAACAAATATGAGTTATCAGAGAGATTAAGGTTCTCATGGTCCACACCTGCCAAAAGTAGTATCCCCTGTGCCTTTGTTACGTTTTATGACTTCAGTTGAGGCACACACAAACCAGAGGAAGGGAGAGGAAGAGAATGAGACTAGGTGCAGCCTCCTCTCTCCTCGTGCTTGATCACTGACACTTCTCAACTTCCAGCACTGTGAGGTGGCTTCTCCTCTCAGTGTGTTAGGTGTGTGTTAAAAGCACGGAGCCAGCGAGATGCTGCCCTGTTCTGCACTCTATCAGAGGTATGCACTGTTTGGCCTTAGAAACATGCTGTGTGTCAACTTGCAGAATGACATCAGACCAGGACTACCTGTTAGTCCCAGATTAGTTTTTCTGTTGTTCTACCAGTGCCAAGTCCTTGAGCTGAGACTAAGAAAGCAACTCGTTTTCTAGACATGTTTTTTCCTCCTGGGTGGCTGTCTCTCTTTTGGTTACCATAATAGCACTGTCTTCCCTTCTTCTGTAGTCTCTCTGGGAAAATCTAAAATGACTGCTTGTAGGTGGTTATTTTAATTTCAGCTGAAGTTGATACTTCACATACTTTTCTCAAGCTAGACACTTGTCTCATCTCTTGTATACTGAAATGTAGTTTTGGTGCATACGTATAGAAAATGTTAAGTCTTTGTTAATTTTACTACAGTACAGAAAATTTCTTTTTGGAAAAAATAAGGAAATACTCAAGGACTGTTAAAAAATTTTTGACAACTGTGATGTGTTTGTGCCACGGTTCCTGTTGGATAGCAAAAAGATTTGCTTGAAGATTACTGCACAGGTTCTTCTTAGAAAGATATTTATGCTCCTTTGATAGCCTCAGAAAGAGTAGACATGAGTTAGATGTCACAAAAATGCAGAAAATTAAGACTTTTGAGTAGCTAAAGTATGAAAGTATCTTGAATTTTTAATGCAAATTCACATTTAACATTGTTACTGTGGCCTTGGATCTTGGGATTTTCTTGCCTCCTTTCCAAATTTTTTTTTTTTATGTCTGAACCTTCATTTCTTATAACTCAAGTACAAGTGAGTTTGTAACACTTCAAAATGTGTAGATTTTATATATTTTGGTCTGACCTTCCATTTTAAAATTCTAAAAGTTCATCTAAATGTTCATCTTTTTTTTACTGATGCCACCACATATTTGTAAATGTTCTCTGCCTTTCTTTTTGTACCATGTAATTATTGCCTATCAAAGATTAGACTTGTTATTTCAGGTCATTCTTTAAAGCTTGCTTTATTTCTTTATTTTTTCTTTCCCTCTTTTGGAGGGGAAAATGGCTGACAACAGTTGTTTCTGGTTAGTCTCTTAAGAGAATCTCACATTTTGAACAGTTGTGTTGATGTGTGAGGTTTATTATGCACTCATAGCTTCCAGTGAATGAATTTTAAATAAGATTATTTTGATTCTGAAGTCATGTAGAAATCTAAAAGTGAGCCCTTAGGTAGGAAACAATGGCAAAAATATGCATACTGCCTACAGAAATAAAAATGAGGATAGTGGCCAAAGAAGCAAAAACTCCAAGTCGAAACTCCTGTTTTGGACTTCTTCTTGGTAGCTCAGAAAAGATTCTACCTAGTAATTTAATATCACAAAATCACAGGTTTCTTTGCTACAAGGCTTTATGGACTCAATGGAAGAAGGAAACTGTGCTGTTACAGACTTTAGATCCAGAAAGGGCAGTTATTCCATGCCCTTCAAAGATTGCTGTTGTATGGCTTCCTGTCCTCTTTGCCCTGCTGCCAGAGCTCCAAAACTGCCAAGACACAATCACTGTGAGTTATGGGAATTAACATGAATGGGAAATTAACATCAGGAGACTTCACATTTATCTTTGCTAAGAGGGTGCATGGGCCACCCCTTGTGCAATGATGGAACTGTTAGGACTCTTCTGAGCTGTGGGACTTGGTTTCTTGGATTCAAGCTGAAATAGTGATTTCAGGAAACTTGGCTTCTCAAATATGGGTGAAAAACTGACATAATACAATAATGAGATTTAGCAGTTTGAGATTATGGTTTTTTGTGACTGTAGATCTAAGGCATGGATTTCCAGTTCAGTTATGGGATATTCCACATGTGTACCTGCCCTAGTGCTGTAAAAATGTCACAGCACTTAGCTCCTGTTCACTGTCTCATAAAGCCATGGTCATGCTTGAGAGAGGGGAACTTTGGATTCAGTCCTGTTTCAGCAGGATTGAATTAGGTTCCCAGATTTACCATTTGGTTTTTAATAATGTAGCCTAATAAGCAACCTAAAAGCTGGGGGATCCAGTGAAAAAGGGCAGGTACAGAAATGTAAGCAGATAAAGAAAATGAATGAACACCTAGAAGTGGAAAAGAGGAAAAAAAAAGTACTTTGTATGTAGAAGGGTACTGCTTCTCATAGAAAACAGGTTATTTTTGATAGAGAATGTGGTCTGATAGTTGAGCAGTTTCTTTCAAGGCATCTATCCCTGGAACCCATTTTTTTGTGTCTAAATGCTTTTAATTACATACGTGGCGAATATTTATTCTTCTCAGAGGGAACAGATGTACAAAGGGTTCAGTGTTACATTTTGAGATGTGTTATTTGTGACACTGATGGCTTTTCAGTTATTCAAAGCAACCTGTGTGTGTGTGTGTCTTCGTAGTTCTTGGAATCCTCTTGCTAATAAAACTTAACAGAGTTTCTTTGATCGTTTTAGAGGTGTGTTTGATGCTTCCCTCAAAATGGCTGGGTTCTATGGACTCTACACTTGGCTGACTCACACTATATTTGGGATTAACATAGTCTTCATACCATCTGGTAAGGATTTGAGCAATTATGTTCATAACTAATATTATGTAAGTATTTATTGCACAAAATCGGAAATATTAAGTATTGCTGACAACCTTAGGTCTGATCTTGGAGAATTTGGCTGTGCAAAGGGTGGAGAGAAGGCCCTGATTGCTGTCTTACCCTGAGCCTTGCCGCCTTCTGTTTTCACAACACATTCCCTGCCAGTGATTTTACCTCTTCTTTCTGTTTCATTTGCTAGAGCCAATTCCTTCTCCCTTGTATTCAGTCCAAGTATTTTCAGGTTTAAACTTTATTCTACCTGTCTTAGCTTCTGTTTCTTTCACAGTTGACAGGTGCTGATTTTTCAAGATGCCTAAATGCAGGAAGATGTGGTATCATGGAAATGCATGATAAAGGAATGCTTCTTATTCTCAGTAGCGTTGTCTGACTGTATTACCAGCCTCTGGTTTTCTTTTATTATTTAATCCTAGTTTTGGAAATGGCTGGACAGTTTCTCAGAGAAAATCCTTTTCCCCTGTTCCTCTTTGCCCTTCTTTCTCTAAAAAGAATGATAATAATAGTAATTGCAAAATGTTTGTGTACAAGGAGGCATAAGGGAAAGCTATGAAGTAACAAACCCCAGGATAATGGGAAATGGCTGTATTGTAAAGTGCAACTGTCTTAAAGACATTGATTGTCACTATAACTACTTAGAAAGTAATCAGTCTTACTTTTTCCAACTACATGCGAAATCTTAAAGGTTTTTGCTTTCTGGTTAATGAGACTCCACTTAGTTGTGCTTTGTATTATAATACGGGAGGTGCATTAAATTGTAGTGGCAGCAGATCTGTATTGCTTTAGATTGCAACAGGTCTTTGTTATAAGCAGAAGGGTGTGCAGCTGTGTGCACACATTTGCATACAGAAGTATATGTCATAAATCTCATGTTTTCCTGCTTTCTCACTATTATGGATGCCTGCAGGAGATGCAGTAAGTTAGAGTGAGACTTAGGTTCATTTGCTTTTTTACACAGCAAGAAATGTACATGATTGGTACAACTTCAAGTTTTTCTAAACTGATGCCTCTTAACTCCTTATGACTGTCAGTTGCTGAAGCTCTTCTGTATGGGGAATGTTCCTAAACCACAGCCATAAAACACCAAGAGCCTCATGTGGCACTTCTTCAATGCTTTATTTATAGCACTTGATGGAAGGGGGACTTACTGGTGTGGCCAAAGTGTCAGAATGTAACTGTAAATATATTTGTGAAATATGTTTCTGTGATCTTTTTTTCACTTCTCCTTCTGTGTGCTCTAGCATTAGCAGCAATCCTTGGAGCAGTGCCATTTCTGGGGACATACTGGGCAGCAGTCCCTGCAGTCCTAGATTTGTGGCTTGTGCAAGGACAGGGATGCAAAGCCCTTCTGCTCTTGGTTTTTCACCTCTTGCCAACCTATTTTGTAGATACAGCAATTTATTCAGATATATCAGGGTAAGTACATTGAACAGTTTTTAAAATTAGCATTGTAAAAATGATTGACAGTCACTGATGCCTTTAATTAAACTCATTTTTCTGAAGCATGCAAAACAGTATCTTCAAGCTCAGGAATAACCTCATACTAAGCAGTTTTACTGGCCTAAGTGCTTTCATTTTCCCAGGCCACTTTTCTATGAGCTTTGACACTTCAGAGGTCTTGAACTCAACATCAGCAAAATGAACTGTTTCAGTTGGGTTGTTAGAATTAGTTTATGTTTTCTGTTTATCTAATTACTGAGTAAAGGTGTGTAGCATTTTCTTTTTATCTCCTAATGCCAGATAATGCTGCAGAGCAGATAAAACCATGAGCTATTTTGGGACCAAAAAAAAAAATAGAGTTAATGTAGAATAAAGTGGTTCACTTCTGTGTTGTTAGAAATTAGTACTTTTGTTTGCTAAATATAATTACACTGAACAGAGGATACCTAATGATAATATGCCAAATATTAATACTAATTTTCATAGACTGTGGCTATGTAGTTATTTTGCATTAATTAAACCTAACAGGTGAAGTATAATCAAATTACATTTTTTTCCCAACAATAAATCATGGATAAGTTTAAGGTTAGTAGCTATTTAAATAGCCAATAATTCTTCTGCTTCCTAGAATACATTTTTTTTGGACTGTAGAGGATACAAACTCTGTTTACTGTCCAGAAAATATATGGGAGAGGAATAGATTTTCTGACAGTGGAGGAAAATTGTTCTTCCCAATAAATTGAACAGTGAGCATCATGATGTCTTGCAGATTAGATTAAACCTATTTGAAATAGCTATAATTAGGTTATGCAGGGTTTTCCAAATGGATTACCTTTGTACTGTAGTCCTATTTGATTATGTCATATATTGTTTAATTTAGAAAACTAGACAAAAGAATGTCTAAACTGATGCAAATGCTGGGAAAAATTGAAGTTTTTAAAGGATTAGAAATTAATAATGTCTATTGTTGGAGAAACATAAAACTTCAGGCCACGTTTGTCTCCTCAGGAGAGCAGGCTGGTCCTGCCAGTAGGTTAAGTTTGATCTGGATGAGACATGATTCAGGTGTGTCAGATTTAATAGGTCATGTTTCATGGCCTTGTTTTGTACACAGTTGTGTTGAAGGTCGAGACTTAAAATTTGGGACTTGAGTAGAAATCAGGATCATGGTAGAAACCTCAGGAGCTGCTGGAGCTCTGAATTGACTAGCTGGCATTTTCTATGTATTACACTCAGAATTTAGAGGAACTTCCTGGGAACTGTGTGCCAAGTTTCAGCTGTAGTTTTTCTTCTACAATTTCATATTGCCATCATTATTTTAGGTATAAAGAATGAAGAATGATGAGCAGGTTTTGTGTAAATGCTGTTGGTAGGATTCACATTTTGCAGCTGAACACAGGTGCAAAATGTGAATCTGAGATACAGAGGATAAAAATGGCATGGTTTACTTGTTGCCATAAGAGCTCTTATCAAAAAGCTCTTCTGGCCCCAACTTTCCAGTAAATATTAATGTGCTCATTAAAATCCAGTTTTGTTTTTCATCTGAAAATGTTAAAAGCTAATGATAGCAAACACTAATTCTGAGACGGTTTTTTATAACAAAATGAGAAGATATGGCTATTTCTTTAAAGACTGTATGCTAACTGTTCTTTAAAAGACTGCACTGCAAGTCATCAGCTAACTTGAATGGCTTTGCTCAGGGGTCCTCATATTAACCTGTTGCTAATTGTGTTAAAATAAACTTCAACAGTTCTTGACCATAAAGCATCAACAATCTGTGTAACCAACCATCTTTCCACTCTCAAAATGGCAGTGTGTTTGCCATTGAGTCCTTCAGATATTGTTCAGCAGAAGTCTGTAAAGTAACTATTCCACTGTGGATCTTACCAGCATTCCAGACTACAGCAGTGTTTGATCTGTCATGGGAATACAGCCCAGAACCTTTGTGCAGTCATTCAGACAGCAGTTTATAGTGTAAATATGCGTAGCTATAGCTAGATGGGTCGTTTCCTAAGCTTAATAAAACTTCAGTATTAATTCACATTTCTTAATTAATAATGCTGTGTTTGTTGTTCTTAATTGAATTTTATTGTTCTTGTGGCAGAGGGGGTCACCCTTACCTGACAGGCCTTGCAGTAGCTGGTGGAGCATATTACCTGGGACTGGAAGGGGCCATCATAGGACCAATTCTCCTTTGTATACTTGTGGTTGCTTCCAATATATATAGTGCCATGTTGGTGAGTCCAACGAATTCTGTGCCCACTCCATCACAGGCAGCGTGGCCATTACAGATTTACCGGTGAGCTGGAAATGCCTTACTTGTATGAATTGTTTTCACACACATCAGTGTACCTGTTCACAGGTGTAGGGAATGTGTGTCTTGGATTTATATAGTAGTGTACACTCACATCTGTGTGAGTATTGTAGTATTTGAAGAGGATTCAGCTGTCCCATGTTCTAGAAATAAAAAGTATGGCTAAGTAAAGAACTCACTGGAACATGTATATGGGAAGTGTTTGTTTAATGTCTCTTAGCCTCTTACAGAAGGCTCATTTAGAAAATTTGCTGATAATACTTTTATGTCCTCTAATTTATATGTTGCTGTTGTGCTAGGAAATGATTGAACATAATTTTTAAACTCTTATTATGAATATCTAAGAGTTCATTGCCCTTAAAAAGGGGCCTGCCCCAAATTACTTCCTTTTTATGTCCTAATGTACAATACCGCAAAATATAAACCTTCCTAGATTTTAAAAAATGTGATACCATTATATGCCATTTTTCCATTAAAAGTATTGTCCTTAGTAATGTCATTATTGAAGTTACAGAATTATGGAATATAGAAATGTATCTTTAAACTGTACAGTTAGGAATGGGATAATAATAATAATACAGTTAGGAATAAACTCATAATTGAATAACTACTTAGAATTGTAAATCACATTGTGGCAATATTAACAACAGTAGCTCTTTTAATGTTTCTACTGTCTTGTTAAACTATGTAGGTTAGCTCATTATACATGTATCTTGAAGAGGATTCTCTGCTTGTCAGAAATAATTCTTTGCCTTATTCACATGAATAGTGCTGTCTCCTTTCATCTGTGTAATTAAGGAGAAAAACTGCTAATTGGACCTGTCTGTAGTCTCTGGCTTGTAAAAGTTACATTCCAGTTGCCCTGTATGAAACAGATAGAGCTTCCAAGTACACACAAAAAAAAAAATCCTCATGTGTGTTTGGTTCTCCTTTATTTTATCAGAAACAATTGTTTGGAATCACTGGGCAGATTTGTGTCTTACTTTTCACTTTTGTTTTCCTCCCTCCATCTCCCAGGTCACCTAGAGAGAGCCCCGAGGAGGTGAAAATGTCTGCAGAGTGAGGGAGGTGCTGGGCTGTACCTCTGCAACAGGAGGGAATCGCTGTCTTCTGTCTTGGGTTCACAACAGCCACGGATGGCCTTCTGTCCCTTCCCAGCTGTGCCTGGGGGCAGCTCACAGGGAAGCATAGACTGGGTTTTAGGAGAAAGCACTAGAACATCTGCTGGCCTTACATTATTGTGCACTTTGCCTCTTCCAGAGAGAATGTCTACTTCCCATGGCTTTGCATACCAACACACAGTCAGCTGCCTTGTTGAAGACTTTGAAGACCTCTGTCTTATCAAAAGAATAGTTAAGAGGACAGGTACATCCACTGGAGTCGTTATCTTATCTGCTGAAATTACTAACTTGGCTTTTATTTATTGGATTATTTGTCTTATTAAACTGTAGTAGCTTTAAAGAAAGCTGTAATTCCAAAATATTTATTTTTAGGCAATCTGGTGGCAAAAGAAGGGCAAACCACTCATTGTGAAATGAAAGTATAATATAATAGTTTGCTTCTCCTCAAGGTGTTTCTTTATAAGCTTCAACCATCATCTGTAATTCATAATAACACTTAAATATTATTCACTTACACGCACTGAAATTTAATGTTGTTAGAGACTGGTATTTTAAAAATCTTCCTGATATTTATAGAAATGCAAACTGTTAAATGTGAGTTTTCCTCTTACTGACATAGGAAGACTTGTTTAAATAGTTGAAATCTTGCCCCCATTTTCAGCAAAATCTGATAATATTTTGCTGTTTATCCACCCTCCCAGTGGAGTCATCTTGTCAACTAAATTTAATCAAAGGCCTTAAGTGTTTTCAGACAGTAGTAATGTAGAATGGTCACATCTCCTTCCAGTAACTGGAAGAAGTTTCATGGGGATTGTTTAATGTTGGTTTTCAAATGCTGTGGCTGAGTTCCATTCACTTTTTAAACAAATTTTACTACCAGAAAAAACGGGGAGAGAGCATGGATTTTGGTTTAGCTCATTTGGGGCTTTTTAACCCTGTAAGCGTCTGGCCACATATCTTGCTGAGATACAGGATATATCTTAATATATTAAGGTGCATCTTATTAATAAGCAAAGATCCTGAATATGTAATTTTGCTTAAAATGCAGCTTTGGTGACATTTAAGGCCTTTTGTATTGATTGTCAAAGCATTTTGACACAATGGATCTTTATAAGTGGATCCTTTTTGTAAATGAGAAGTAGGGTTTTGGTAAATATTTCATACTTGCACAGCTTTTCCACAAATCCAGTGAGGCCCTAGTACAAAGTAGCAGATGCACTTGCTTAACCAAAGAACCACCATTCAGTTTCCAGTAACTCAAATTGATTTCAGAATTTGATTGATAATGAGTTGTACAAAATATAGGCATGCCTTGTATTTATTTATTGTTGACAGTAATTCAATGCTTGAAACAAAGGGATCTTATCCAGGGATAAGGATATCTAAGATATGTGCACAAACAGCTTGCAGATGTTTTACTTGAGTTCTGGAAGTGCTGACAGATTTGGAAGGTTCTTTCTATGATATTGTATGTATTTTTACATTGTTTTGAAAAATACATTGCCATGGAAGGTGATTGGAAAGTACTCTGGTACTGAGAAAAGAAGAAAGTCCTGCTGTAGGTTTGCAATAGATAGGCTGCCTAACAAGACACAAATACTCTGCTCCTCAGATTTTCAAAATAAGCTGCTGCAATTTTACTGATAAAATTGTATGTTTTAAATGAGAGGGGTTAAGTATGCTGTTTGTGCACACTTGCAGGTATGTGCTTGAGGGACAGACTTGGGCTCAATTTAGTAGGGTGACTCAGGTTTATCAAAACATGGAAACATACCATTTAATATTTTAAATTCTGAAAGATCTACACATCATTAACTGAATAAGAAGAATGTGTTGCTTGAATCAAGTATCTGTTTCATCTCCTTGGTTTTGTGGCTCATGGAAAAAGCTTAAGTGAAAGACATTTTTATAATCGTTGGTGGCTAGGGTGGAGGATGTGGGGAAACCTCAGGCTTTACTAAAATACTCCTGCAACTTTCTAACCAGGTGGAATGAGACCACCGTGATATTTAGGCAACTTCTTTATTGTATTACTTTTTTTTAGTTCACAGTTTTGCACTGAATTGTTGTGTTTTTGTTGTAGCTTCTTGTAGACAGTATTTAAAGCACCTCTTTGCTCACTGGTCAAAACATGTTTATTGTCCACATTTGCTATCCCATTTTCTGAGACAATCTTTCATACTCCTGTGGTACTCGACTTGGTCATTTTAAAGAGTCATTAAAATGCATTATTTTGTTTGGTTTTAAGTTTTCTTCTTCCCCTTCAACCAATTGCCTTAGATCAAAGAAGGGTCTCTGCTGTGAAGATTAAACCATGACTGAGACGCCATTAACTTCAGTAATGCAAACGAGTAAAATCACCTGGGAAGACACAGTGCTGTTTTGAAATGTTCCTTTTCCATCATGGAATCCTTTTATATAGAGAACTCACATCTGATGGAATGTTTTTTAGTTTGTCCTCCTTTGAAATGAGGCTTCATTTTGATGCTTTCTGTCCCAAATTCAGCTCAGACTTGCCATGAAGAACCATGCATAGTACATGTAGTAAATGTAGTCAGTAAATGTAGCTTCAGGAGCTCATGCTGTCTGCTGTACTTGATTGAGGAACCAACTGTATGGTTCAGTAATGGTGCAGTAACATATACTACCAAAAAGAAAAGAAACATAAGGAACAAAACTTCCAATAACACCTTCTTGGAATAGGAAATAATCACTGATTTTCACCATGTTTAGGAAAAAAAAAAAAAAAACAAAAACACAAAAACCCCCAAAACCACAAAATACCACCTTATGAAAGAGCATACTTTGATTATTTGGGTTTCATGTTTAGCAAGTGTCTAATTACCTGCTGGAAATAGAAGACCTTGTCACTGGGTATTTAGCAATCTATATTATTTTCTGAGCAGACTCAGCCTTTGTAAGAATGGTTTAGTATAGATCAGTCTTGAAAATAATCAAACTGGTCATTTTGACATCTGGTCTTTGAAAAGTGCCAGTTCATGGTTATATTGCATCATTTGCAAAAACAACCAGCAGTTCAGTGGGATAAGATTTTAGTACATGGATTGTAGCTTTCAAAAAAACCAGCTCAACTCCCTGCTCCAAGATCCCACAACAACAACAACCACCCAACCAACAAAAAAAGCCCCACACTCTCTGCAGTGTGGTTTTCTTAGGAGAGGCCATCTTTTCTTCTTGCTTGTAGGCAAGATGTTGATGGTCTTTAGCTTTACTGTAAACAGTCATTCCAGGAGCAGGTACTTACTGAAGTGTATTTAGTACATTTAGTGTTCAATAATTTAGAGTTCAGAAGGGAATGCTCATAGTAATGCAAGACAATGTGGTCTTAAGGTATTGTGAAATTCAACTGTGGTGGTTTTTATCATTCTCCTTGGGGAATTGCAATCAAGTGTAGTGCCAAAGGGCTGGTGCTGTTTCTGGCACTCAAGTCTGAGTTAGCCTTTCCTTCCTGTACCTTGGCTGAGCACTGCTGTAGCAGAGCTGGCCCAGGTGACTGTGTCATGTTAGCTTCAGGTCACTGTACATACTGGCTTAATTGGATCCATCAAGGAACAGACTGCAATGGGCAAGAACCTGGCACACATTCATTTTGCCAGCCTTGCTACAATATGGTGGCTTTCAGCACAGGTGCACCATGACCAACTGGGAGCAGAGATGACTTATTTTGAAAGGCTGCTTAAAAAGAAACAGTTTAACATTATAATAATACATATGATGCACATTTTTCAGAAGTTAAGTTGATACCCACATGATATTTCCATGCAGAGTGCTCTGTGTGTGTGCAGGTACACTTCGGCTTGTCTGATTTCAAGCTCTGTGGGGCTTCTCTTAAAGACACAGGGGAGGAGGATATACTGGATGTGTATTTTGTCAGAGATTATTGGAATAGGAAATCCATAATCTGTTTAGTTAAAATAAGATTGTTCAGGGAAAGTTGGATGCTGTCTCCTGTATTTTCCATTTGTGGGTATAGGCATAACTTTTGAAATAGGTGTATGGCTGCAATGTTCAACATTGTTTTTCAGAAAGCCTGAATAAACAAAACTGGATGAAATTGTTCTCCAGTAAAAGCAGCGGCTGAGTTGCTATGCTGCTGATCCTTAGTACTAGGAATACTGCAGTGTAGCCTTTCCTATGGACCTGATCCACTGAGGATGGAAAAATACCATTTTTCTACTGAGATTCCATAGCTTTGCATCATTGGTAGTGGGTGTTTCCACAGCTGCCTTTATTCAAACATTGTGTTTATATTATATTGACTTTAATTTGTTGCTGTGGATGGTGCCACCTTAATGGATGCTACCTCTGGAAATGGCTGTGATTTCCTTTGAAGGTACTGAAGGGTGCTGGGGTTGGAGGTAGCATTCATTAGGTTTAATAGCAGAAGTAGCATTCTTCTAGAGATGCAGTTGCTTACCTTGAAGTTTGCAATTTTGCAAGAGAAAATTGATTTGCCAGATAATCTTTACTGAGTGTCAGCTGACATCTCTTAAATCCATGGATGCATCATCTTTATAAACTCTGTATTGATTTGTATTTCAAAGGGTTTCTTCTTAGTTCCTACACTTATTTCCTACACTTTTTGCTGAAGCCACCTTCAACAATTTCATTATTATTTCTGTTTGTACAAAACTAGAATCTCTCAAAACTCTTAACAAGCATTAGGGAGACTTGATCTTTGACCTGGTACTGTCTATCTGTCAGTTTTACTAAGGTACCTTAATGCTGTATGGTAAAATTTTCCGAAATTTCTTTTAAGTGATAAAATTGGAAATAAGAAAAAAACCAATGTGCGAAATTGATGTTTTGAAAGAAACAATGCCAAAAGTCATAAACATATTCAGGCATTCTGCATTGGGTTTGAAAATGTATATATTGATATGCAGTGTTATATAAATATTGAGAGTCTCTGTCCTATTCAGACTTTAACTGAAATTTTGTCCTAATTTTTTTAAGATACCTGAGAACAAAATAGTGCCTGTACATAATGAAAACAAGCAACATTTTCTACAATTCATGTTTACTTGATACAGATTGAGGAAGAGCCAAGCAAATCCTGGCAGCGTGACTACCACTGTTTTATTGTAGTTCATGTAAAGTAGGGAAAAGCTGCTAGTAATGCATTGCAGAGAGATTGCTGTTTCTGGAAGTATTTGCACACATCCTCTAAAAAACTGCCAAAATAATTAGGTAATGAAATAAATCTTCAGTTCCCCAAACTCTTAAACTCATCCACACCCCCTCTGGTATCTTGTTTGGAGTATGGTTTAGTACATGAGAGTATTGCTTCCATCCCCCTTTGGGAATTGATTCCAGAACCTGAAGGCGTGCTTTCAATGTCCATACTGAAATAGTATGTCCAATTCAGGAAAGAAGTGCTAATTGGAAATAAATGCATCCTTGATCTGCTCTGCATATGCATGGACTTGGACAAATATAATTCATGTTGCATTGAATTAAAGGTTAAATTTTTAATATAAATACTATTTGGTGACACCAAAGCCAGGTTTGAGTGAGATGCAGGGCAGATTTGCTTGCAGCAGAGTGAAATCTGCAAGCTGATAAAGCAGATTGAGTGCTCTAGCATATATATATATATATATATATATATGAAGAATTTTTAGAATGATGTTTTTAAAGCAAAAAGTTGATTTCTTCTCCTAGCCTCACTTCTTGCCCACTAGAGTGTCATAGACAGCGATCCAATGAGAACCTAAAGAAATGTTTCATGGTATTCGTGTAGATTAAATGTAAGAGACATCACAAAGCCAAAAAGTAGCCATGCTACAAAAGTTCATTAGGCTTAAGAACTGGCATCTGGGCCATAAGGTTGGAAAAACAAAATCCCAGTGTTTACTACTCTAACTGCCAGTCTCAGCCTAAACCAGAATCTTTCTCAAGTATCAATAAAAACGACTTTTGTGTTCTTCATAACCTACTGTCTGTGCAGATCAGTGTTTTCAGCTTGTCATCTGTCATCATGAGTATACTCAGCAAGCATTCAATTTGTTCAGATTGTTTCCTTTAAAAACCAATTTTCTGTGCTTTAGTGATGGTTGGATGGTTGGAAACCAACTTTTAATATCAGCGGTTAGGTTCTTACCTATATATATATTTATATATTTATGTATGCTAGCTAACATTTGATGTTTTGGTCAAAAGATGTGGGAGGGTTGGAGCTTTTTTCCCCTTGGGAAATGTCACCAAACCAAATCCAAAGAAACTTTTGATATCCTATCCTAAGACTGGCTACACCCTGCTGAAACCTAGCAGCAGATGTTTTGCATTACAGAGCACAGGTTGTTCTAAAGTGTGTGTTCCTATCAGGCCCCATGGGGATTTGGAGCAATAACTTCTATTGTCTGTTGATGCAAATTTTGTTTGTATGTGTGATACATCTTCAGAATGGAGCTGTGTTCAAAAGTGATGTTATCAGTAATTTGGTTTGATAGAGTACCTGGTTGTGCATGTATAATACTGACAATATAACCCCTTTGTCCATCTGTGGCCCAATGAAATGTGTAAGTTAAGGTTGAGAACTACTTGTGTAGACTGCAGAGGTATTTAAACTAAATAATTTTGATTGTATGCACCAGTTCTCATCCTAATAAAAATGGGTTTTGTAGCAGGTCTAAGAAGCTTTTAACTTGATATTGTATTCACACTGCAGTCCTTTGTAAGCACAGAATGGTTAATATATTTTGAAATAAAACGCCATTAACATAAAGAGAACTGAGTTTGATTTGAATGATGGGCTCCTTGGAATCAGCCCCAAAGGCAGCAGTTAATCTGGTGAAATAACAGGTGTGCTGGAGGCAAAGCAGGATCTGCAGCCCCTGTGTGTAACTGATGTCACTGAGAGAAGCCATACTTCACTTTTCCTTACATTTTCTGTGGGAAGGGGAAGGACACAGCCTCCAGGGTAGCTGTGGCTCAGCTGGCACCTGGCAGCTTGCTGCACTGCCTGCAGTACCACAGCCACACGTCCAGACCCCACAAAAGCTCCCATTCAGCACCTGTAAGTAATTCAAGTGGCTTCCATTATGGCCTGCTCTCTGAACTGGAAATGGTTGTTTAGTGCCTAAGTGGAGTTTTAGATCATTCTAAAATCCTGCATGATCCTCCCTGCATGACTGCTCACCTTTAAAAATGAGATATGGCTGATGGTTGCAGTTTCCACCCCTCTCACAGTTCTGTGAGCAGTCGCCTTAAAGTATTTCCTACAG